AACTGGTCTGTTCAAGCTTTTCTTTCTCCTCTAGGATTAATTTTAATTTATTGTGTTTTCCTAGAAAACTACCCACTGTATCTAGGCTTTCGACTTTTTATGCATACAATTGTCTAGAATACTCTTCAGAGATTTTTTTCTTTAAATTTGCCCTATTTGAACATTTGTTTCTGCCCTGTTATTTTAAAGTTTTTTAAGTTGAATTTAGTTACATATAATGTATTATTAGTTTCAAGGGTAGAATTTAGTTATTCATCAATCTTATGTAGCACCCAGTGCCCATTACATCAAGTGCCCATCGCCCCACAACCCTCAGTTTTTTTTCCTGGAGTTAGGAATCTCTTAGGGTTTGTCTCTCTCTCTAATTTCATCTTGTTTTGTTTTTCTTTCCCTTGCACTATGTTCATCTATTTCTTAAATTCCAAAATATGAGTAAAAATATGAGTAAGAGCATATAATTGTCTTTCTCTAATTTATTTTGCTTGGCATAATATCCTCCAGTTCCATCCACGTTGTTGCAAATGGCAAGATTTCATTCTTTTGATGGCTGAGTAATATTCCATTGTATATAAATACATCTTCTTTATTGCCCTGCATTTTTTTGTGTGTATATGTGCTTTCTCCCCTTTTTTCATGATTATATTAGCTAGTGCCTTGTCTGTTTTATTTAATATTTCTATTGATTTCTAGTTTCATTTCACTGTGATCAGAGAATGTTGCATTACTTTACCATATTGGATTTACTGAGGTTTCTTTGTGATTATACATTTAGTTTTTGTGAACATTTGTGTGTGCTTACAAGAAAGGTGTATTCTCCATTATTGGGATACAATGATCTAATATAGTCATTAGTAATATTGTTAGGTCTTTTTATTAATGAGAGCACAGTAGGGAGAGGAGCAGAGAGAGAGGGAGGAGGAAATACTATCAAGCAGACTCCACCCTGAGCATGGAGCCCAACACAGGACTCAATCTCACAACCTCCAGATCATGACCTGAGCCACAGCCAAGAGTCCAAGGCTCAACTGACTGCACCACCCAGGTGCCCCAATTATATTGTTAAGTCTTATATTTACTTTTTGTCTACTTGGCCTTAGACTGAGAGCATTACTATTATTTATTTTTATATAATAATATGTTTAATTCATAAATATTTAAGTATCATCATTATTATTGTGTCACCATGTTTCTCCTTATGTCTGCTTTGTGAAGGTATTGGGGTGTTTCTTTGATAGGTATCAGAGGTTTTATTTCTTCATTGTGAATTATAGCCTTTAGTGTTGTTAACCTTGAAAAAAAGTTGCCAGTTATTTTAATAGCAAAAATTCACTTAGGAATAGCGGAGAATTCAATCAGGACAAGCTAGTTGTGGCAAAACCATAGAGAAGTCCACAAAACAAAGAAGAAAGAGAAAGGCTCTTTTAGAGAAGAAAGTGGGTGTAGGGAGGGGCTATTGTAAAATAAAAGTCCCCAGAGTGAATTGGGAGCTGGACATGTAGTGGCTTCTCATTGGCTGAGCTGTGGCTGCCTCTCATTGGCTGGGCTGTTGCTGGGAAGGAAGAAGGCTTCCTGCTGGGGTAGTAAGGTAGCATCCACCTGTGCAGTCCTCTTCCAGGAGGGTCTGTGCTTGGTGTGAGACCTCTCCCTGCTGGCCCCCTGACTCCATTCTAGCGGAGGTTTCCTTTTATTAATTTTCACAGGGGTAGGAAGTGTCTGTTGCTGGATTTCCTGCTTTGGGCCTGAGTCCTCCCTTTCTGGTATCAGGACCCACTTCACCTTCCTTCCTAAGATTTCTGTGTGCCTGACACACCTTTCCCCTTTTGTCATGGTTACCTTTTCTGTTTTGATGGAACCTCCTGAATATGCAGTCAGGTTTTCTTTTGTTAGTCAATGTGATCAACTTTTTTATTCTGATAAAATTGGTTAAGCCATTTACATTGAAGACACACATGTGCCTGATCTCAGCTTTTGTTTTATGACACGTTTTTGGTGTGATGTGGCACATTACTGGGCTCCTTTCCCCAAGTATGTTTTCCCTGTTTTATGTATGAGTTTTTGGGTAAAGGTGATATCTTTTGTTATTTAGGAGGGTTTGTATTTGTGTTGGGGTAGTTACCTTTGTCTTAATACTTTGTTTCCATTTTCCCTATTCAGGCTTATATACTGTTTTATGTGTTGGCTTTACGTGGTACTCCTTTCCTTCCATGGTGATCAGTGAACTTATTCTTTTTTTTTTTTTTAAGATTTATTTATTTATTTATTTATTTATTTATTTATTTATTTATTTATTTATGAGAGAGAGAGAGAGAGAGAGGCGCGCAAAGATACAGGAGGAGGGAGAAGCAGGCTCCATGCCGGGAGCCCGACACGGGATTCGATCCTGGGACTCCAGGATCATGCCCTGGGCCAAAGGCAGGTGCCAAACTGCTGAGCCACCCAGGGATCCCCTCAGTTAACTTATTGTATTTTGATTATTCTCCTTCCTTTTTGAGAACATGCAACATTATACACTGTTCTTCCTTATCTCACTTTTTAAAAAAATCTTTGACCTATAGTGTGTACTGTACTTGGTAGTCACATCAGTCTTGGTGACATTTTCCCTGTATCTCATGGTCTAGTGGGGCCCATCCTTTAGTAGATCCCTGAAGAAGTCTCTTGGATCCATCCTTGTGGGACTGACACCACTTTTCTGTAGCCTGGAGGCTTGTAGGATGGCCTGGTGGGGCCCTAAATCCCTGGTTCATCTTCCTCTTGAGTTTTGTGAAAATACTATTTCACTGTGTATGTGTCTGTTGAAAAGTCTACTTCCACCTTGACTTATTTTCCATTTTCCTTGTTAGACACTTGGACTTTTAAATCAAAGGCATGAAGGATTTTTGAAATATTTCAAGTCTGGTAGTTTTGTTGTGAGGTGTCTGCGGTGACCATCCTGGATTAACTTTTCCAGGAACATATGTACCCTTTTGATATATGGATTCAGGTTTGTTTTTTTTTTTCCTTTTTCCAGAAAGTTTCATTGTATGTGAGTTTTAAGTATTAGTCTGTTAATTGTTACTTTTCTTCTGCAGGAGCTTCACTTCTATGTTTACTAGATCTTCTTTGCCCGTCTTCTTGAACACCTGCTCTTGGATTCATCTTAGCTCTCTATTCCATCTTTGTTCTCTTACTTGTTTTCTTTTTTAGACTCCTTATTGGTCCAGTAGAATATATTCTGTCTTAGGCATATTGCTAGTTTTTCTTAAGATAATTTTTTTTCAGTGTATTTCCTGAATTAATTTAACTCTCATTTCACATCTTTTTGTCCATTTCAGTTTAAGTGTTGAATTTCCGATTCAGAGTGGTCCTTCTGCACATGCTTATTTTATGATACTTGATTCATGTCAGGGTGTGGCTACCGATCTCTGATTGTTGATGGTCCTTTGGGGAATGGTTCTTTTTGGGGGGGGGGGAATGGTTCTAACAGCAAAAATGTTTTGTTTCTTTCTTTCACTTTCTTCTAATGACTTTGTTTGAATGTTGCTGCCATTTTCTGAGCATTTTGAAGTTTTTGTTTTCTTGGCCAGTAAGAACAGGTTTCTTTACATAAATTGAACAGAATAGAAAGTCCAGAGAGTGCTCCATGTAGAAGTGCAGTAGGTGAAGGACAAGCTGTTGGAGAAATGGAACATATGGACAGGAAGGAAAAACAGGTTACTCCCATGTCACTTTGTTTGTAGCAATATACTTAGGGTAATTAAAAACTAATGTAAAAGACAATAGTATAAAATAATCTGAAGAATATATAAATGAGGGACGCCTGGGTGGCTAAGTGATTGGAGCATCTGCCTTTGATTAAGGTGTGATCTTGGAGTCCCGGGGCCGAGTCCCACATCAGGCTCTTTGCATGTAGCCTGCTTCTCCCTCTGCCTGTGTCTCTGCTTCTCTCTCTCTGTGTCTTTCATGAATAAATTAAAAAATAATAATATATATATATATATATATATATATATATATATATATATATATATATATATAAATGATCTTTGAATCAAGAAAAATGACATAGGCTTGATTTACTAAAAATCCAAAACATCTGAATTGGAAAATATTATAACATTAAGATTCATGAAAATTGTGAGAAAACACTGTATTTTCTTTAACAAAGCACTGATACCAGGGGAATCCCTGGGTGGCTCAGGGGTTTAGTGCCTGCCTTTAGCCCAGGGCATGATCCTGGAGTCCCAGGATCAAGTCCCACATTGGGCTCCCTGCATGGAGCCTGCTTCCCCGTCTGCCTGTGTTTCTGCCTCTCTCTCTGTGTCTCTCATGAATAAATAAATAAAATATTTTTAAAAAGCACTGATTCCAGATTATATGAATCTAGTTGAAAAATAGTCAATTATTGGAAACAGTACAAATGGCCAATAATATGCAATTACTAACTGCTAATCAAGATAGTGACATTAAGATGAGGCTTTCACCTATTAGATGAGCAGACATTTTCAAAGACCAGCATTACAGTAAGTTAGATGAGGGTAAGTAGGTATGTTTTACACATGGCAAAGAAGATCTGTGCTTTTTTTGAAAAGTTTGTTTTCCTATTGAGTCTTCAGTATGACACTCTGACCCAATGAGGCAGGCTCTGGGGCTCTCTGAGAGGGCTGGCACGGTTCATAGAGCTTGTGTGCAGGAGTGCTCAGGGCTGCAGTGACAACATTTGTGAACAACTTAGATTTCCATCAGTGAGAGAAAGCAAAAAGTTGTGGGAAATGTCAGACAATAACTATTTCCAAGGAGCATTTGAAACTGAAAACAGCAAGGCTGTTTGCGGATGCCACTTCAGTAAAACAGATGGAGGGAGCCCTGGAGGAGCAGACGGTTTGCCCCCAAGGCACATGTGCTGTTCAAACACATTTGTTTCAGGCGTAAGGAGGTGGCATTGCCCCAGCAAGGAGGCAGTTGAGCAGTTGGCCTCTGCCCTTGGGGGAGGCCCTGTGCTGACCACAGCCCTTGCTGTGCAGGTGGCCTCTGCTGAGGGTGTCATGTATGCGCTGACCGTGCCCCAGCTGCAGCTCCTGTCCTGGACCAGCGTGTTTCCCAGCAGCCCCACCAGTCTCCTCTGCTCTCCTGACGGCCAGTGGGTGTTTGCCTCAACCCAGGACTCAGACCTCGGCCCAAAGGTCAGTGGTGGGCTGTGTCCTCTGCTCCAGAGGCTGGCTTTGTTCATGCAAGGTGCTGGGTTCTGTACCCAGGCTCGTGGATGTGTCTGGGGGGGTGGCTTCCAGGGCAGGACCAAGCTTGCCGGAAGCACTGGGACCTTCAGACAGGATGGTCCAGAGCCAGAGGAGTCACCTGGAACAGACTTCGAAGTGTGTAGGACAGGAATACAGAGCAAGACGCTGGAGGCAAAAGCCACGTCAGTGACGTACGCTGCCCAAAACCACCAGAGCCGTTGATGTGGTTGTCCTGTCACACCAACTGACCCGGGACTGGTGTGCCAGGTGTTTCCAGTGGGGCCAGACAGGCCCATCCGAGCTATGTGGAAAAGAGGGTGCACAAGTGACATGGGCAGCCCTGTGAGACTCTACAAGATCACCAGGTGTGGGTCTGTGGCCCTTCTGGGTGGTGGTCAGCACAGGGACCATGTGGCCATGTTTCCCCAGGTGTTCTACACTCAGTCCCTGCTGTGTGTGGTGGAGGATGAGCCTCCCGTCTCTACCACTCTACCCGTCTTGCTGACGTCCAGAGCCTGCTGGGCCCCTGATGAGACAGCCAGGCTGATGGTGATGCACAGAAACAGTGACAACATGCGGCTGGCCATCACCACCTACGAGCTGGGGACCAAGCAGTCCCGGAAAGGCGTGGACGCTGTGGGTAAGGGTCCCCGCAGCAGGCCAGTCACTGTTGCACTGTGGTGCTTCCAGCACAGAGTCCTCTGCTTTCCTTTGGGACACTTTTCTTCCCTCCCAACAAGTGTCTTGTTTGTGATTATTTGTACTGGCCGCATGGTTGAGTGCTTGCCGTGTGCCAGGTCCTCTGTGCGGCCCTGGGATCCAGACACCAACCACTGGCCAATACAGCCTCACCCCTCCTCAGTGTTTTGTCACAACTATGGCAAACACACTCTCCTTGGTGCTGAGTGTGCGGATGAGTAAAAGCCACACCATTTCTTTCCCAGGTTGCTCCCGGCCAGCAGGAAAATAAGACCTATAGTTATCTCTTTTTCTGCCTCTTTTGTCTCCCGGACTGCATGTCACTGTGACTGGCCTGCCCTGTGGCCCTTGGCATTTTTTCTTTTGTGTTACAGTCATATAATCATTTGGCTCTAAGTTTTACTCTGAGCTTCCTGGCAGCTGAGGAGAAAAGGGAAACAAGATGTGTATTATTATAATCCCTCGTTCAGTAGGAGCATGAATTCTTCAAAAGAGGTGATTTTTTTTTCCTGGTGCTAAACCATAAGGAAATGATCCAGTTAATTTTTCTAAACAAGGAATGCTATGCGGTATAAAAGACAGTATCTTCAGTAATAGTTCTTGGCAGATGTTATAAATGTTAGTTCTCAGGAGGCCACTTCTTTTTTTTTTTTTTAATTTTTATTTATTTATGATAGTCACAGAGGGAGAGAGAGAGAGAGGCGCAGAGACATAGGCAGAGGGAGAAGCAGGCTCCATGCACCGGGAGCCCGATGTGGGATTCGATCCTGGGTCTCCAGGATCGTGCCCTGGGCCAAAGGCAGGCGCCAAACCACTGCGCCACCCAGGGATCCCAGGAGGCCACTTCTTGCCCCTGTTGTAGATGGGGAAGGGCAGGGAGCCCATCCCCCAGAAGGTGTGTGCCAGATAGTGTCACTTCCATGTGCACCTTGCTGCGAATCTTTGTAGTCCCCTTACCTAGGGCACCATCATCAGTGCTGGAGAGCAGATGAAAGGGAGGCTTCCCGGGTACATGCAGGTGTGATCACAGAGGTGTCACCCTCTCGTTGTCATCTTAGATGAGGCATGTGTGCTCCACTGCCAGACACTATTGAGAGATGGCAATCTGTGTGTTTTTATTTGAAAAAGTACAACAGATTGCAAGTTTCCTCCTGCCAGACACCATGATGCCTCCTCACCTCATGAAGGGCCACGGCTCGCAGGTGGTCCTGCTGGTGTCTGGGTTGGAGCTGGTGCTCTTCACCATCCAGGGCTTGCAGCTGGCAGCCTTCCAGGACCACCAGAAGCCCATCACATCCATGTGGGTGGTGAGTGCCCGCCCGCCATGCACCTGCATCGCGGCCCCGCTCCCAGAGCCTGCGGCCCCGTCTCACTGGGCTTCTCATTTCAAGGACCAGAGCCGAGTTCTCACGGCTTCCTTCGACCTCTCTCTGCGAGTCTACATGTGGAATAAGGAAAATAAGTTTCCTGTCCTCAAGAGCTGCTATCACCTGCTTGGGGGCTCCCACAGATGGGCCAGGTAACTGCTCCCAGTTTCCTCCACTTTACCTGTGAAGTGACCTCACCTGACCCGCGAGCAGCATCTGGACAGGGGGTGTCTGGGACGATCCGGGAACCTGAGGCAAGTTGCCACTCAGATGCCATTTTCTCCTCTGCTTAAAAAAAAAATATGCTAAGCATCATCTGCATGACTTCCTCTAATGTACAGACCACCACCTGCAGGCGGTGCCACTCTTCCCAGATGAAGCAGAGGCTCTGAGATGCGGCTGTTTATGTACAGTCCCATGGGGAAGCACGGTGACCTCCAGGTGGGCAGCTCAGGCCTGCAGCCCCATTCTTGCCCCCACCCTAAGCTGCCATTTCCAAAACCAGTTACCAAACACAGGTGGTGGTGCGGTTGGTGCAGGTTAGATGGGAACAGTCCTAAGATTGCAGTTTTACTTTGGATTCTATAGTTAGTATCTTGAAATCACTTAGGTTTCTTCTTGCCAGATGGAGCTCTGCAAAATGGCCAGGGCATACAGGCCTTACCCTGCGGGGCCACTCACACTGAGATCACAGACAGCTGTCAGTGACTTGATGAGGTCTGAGTAGATTCAGCCTCCTGTGGCAGATGTTTTATTGTTTTCAGTGGAAAAATACCAAGCCCAAAACCAAATATTTAAAGAATTACAGATTTCTGTAACAAATCTATCTTATTTCTGAGTTTTAATCAGTTGTCATTTGAAGATAATTACTAAAGTAAATTCCTAATTAATACAGAAAAATTTCATTCCTTTTTATTTTTTTAATTTTTATTTTTTAATAAATTGATTTTTTTATTAGTGTTCAGTTTGCCAACATACAGAATAACACCCAGTGCTCATCCCATCAAGTGCCCCTCTCAGTGCCCGTCACCCATTCACCCCCACCCCCCGCCCTCCTCCCCTTCCACCACCCCTAGTTCGTTTCCCAGAGTTAGGAGTCTTTATGTTCTGTCTCCCTTTCTGATATTTCCCACACATTTCTTCTCCCTTTCATTCCTTTTTAGAAAGCTCAACTTTCTGATAAGATACAGATTCAACTTAAATCATAGGATAACTGACCCTGTAAGTAGATTCTAACAGCCTCTCTTAACTTCCTGAACAAAGCATAGTGGACAGTCTGATGCTCTCATTCTGAGAAGGACTTGCATCCATTGCTTCCTCACTTAGGATTCCTCCTTAAATTCCTCTGAAGTTTGAGGCCACGTTTGCATCTACACTGCTCTATTTTTGCTAGTTAACACCCCGGCACACTTGCCCCTTCGTTTACCTGCCCTTAGAGGCATGCTGAGTCTGTGTGACCAGAGGCTGGCCTTTGTGACAAGCCTCTCAGGCGGGAGAGGTCCTGCTTAGATGCCACAACCACTCAGACTGTCATGATGGCTTCCTCCTCTGAGGGACACACAGTGTAGATGCTTGTTTTCATGGTTGCTGGAAGATGGCCAGGTGGGGAGGTTGCCCAGGAGGGAATTGTGCTTCCATGTTGGCCTCAACCTTCCCCCCTCTTTTCTATATGTGTCTTTAAAGAATTAAAGAATTCTCCTTCACTGAAATGATCCCATTCTCAATGTGACAAATAAGTAACACTCTTAGAATTCTTTTAAGCAATGTGCTTTAATCAGGACCCCAGAATGGATCATGATGTTGAATTATGCCCCTTTCCTTTTTTTTTTCTTTTTAAGATCTTATTTATTTATTAATGAGAGACACAGAAAGAGAGGCAGAGACACAGGCAGAGGGAGAAGCAGGCTCCCTGTGGGGAGTCTGGTATGGGACTCGATTCCAGGACCCCCGGGATCACGACCTGAGCTGAACTGAGCCCCCCCCCCAGTCGTCCCAAATTATGCTCCTTTCCTAATTCAGAACAGATTCCTCCAGAAATCTGTAGTTTAGTGGTATTTTTTTTGTGTGGGGGGAGCTTCATTTGGCAACTATAAACCCAGCAATCTTGCTTCATGCTGTTCCCCATAGGTTTTTTTCTAGCACCTTTTTGAATGCTGCAAGATATAACCAGTGCTTTCTGAGAGCTTTTCAGTGTCATCCGTGAATACATAATACATAAATTAATTTGCTCAAGAAAATAGGGAAAAGGGGTCTGTTAAATATAAATTTACCAGCAACCTAGCTACATGTCCCCAGGGATCAAACGAAGAGAAATGTCCACACGAGGACATGTATGTGAATGTTCTTAGCAGCTTTATTCGACATAACCCCAGAGTGCCCATCAGCTGGTAAATGGATTCGCCCAGACAGGAATCTGACTGCACCATGACAGTATTTTTGTACACTCAGTGTGGGTGAGCCACAAAACATTGTGTTCCAAGAAGGAAGCCAGATGTGTGAGCCCACGTTGTGTGATTCCAATTACGTGACCCATCTAGGAAAGGCAAGTCTCTAGAAACAAGGGAAACCCTGGCTTCCTGCGGTTGGGTGTGGGTGGGGATTCACTGCAGATGGGCACAACAGATCCCCTGGAGTGATGGAAATCTAAATAGGTTGGTGCTGATGGTTGGACTGCTCTGCACATTTACCAGAAATCAGTTGAAGAAAGACTAAGGAATTCTCCAAAAAGAATGAGAAGGAAACATGCTAGTTCAACCTTCCTTGCCAGCAAACCGTGCGGACCACTGGCTGACTGGCATACCACCTGCTGCACACCTCGCCCCCGTGTAGGCTAGCAGCCCTGCAGGTTTCTGAGATCCTGGAGATGTCACCTTCCACTCTTGTTACTAATTTCTAAGTTAGTAGAACTTCAGTTGCTACTTAAACTCAGTGTGGAATTTATTCTAAGCTAGAAGGTAGTTCCTGAAAGCCAAAGTGGCAATATTTTAGAAGCAATCTATTGCACAAACCAGCTTCCACAGAAAACCACGAGGCCTGTGTGGTTTGGCTGGTTCAGTTCTCTCCACACCTGCTCACTCCTTGTCGTGCCTCAGAGCGGCATTGTCTATCTTGCTGGGCCAAGATAGCGTCATGGAAGGTGCTGGCCCCATCAGTTCCGCGCTGGTGTCTTTCACTAAGGCTGGTTGGAAGTTGGTGGGCTGATTCTCAGTTCTGGGAAAATGACTACCCTGCAGAGATTGGATTAGTTACCCATTCTCCTCTATCAGAAGTTTCTAGACTTGCTGGAATCGTGATTAAGGCAGCTACCATCAGGAGGGCCCACAGCTGACATGCCCACTCCAAAGCATGAGCATATTTGCTCATTGTTAGGAATGAACACCAATCTCAACATGGGTGGGGTGCTCGAGGGTGGAGAAGGTCCAGAGGTTGTGCTCCATCTTCGTGTAAAGGCTTTTTTTTTTTTTTTTTAAGATTTTTATTCATTCATGAGAGGTGCAGAGAGAGAGGCAGAGACACAGGCAGAGGGAGAAGCAGGCTGCATGCAGGGAGCCCGACGTGGGACTCGATCCCGGGTCTCCAGGATCACACCCTGGGCCAAAGGCAGGCGCCAAACCGCTGAGCCACCCAGGGATCCCCCATGTAAAAGCTTAACTACTTAAAAGTATGTCTTCCTCAAGTTAACATGCAGCCTGTCCCTTCCTTTCGCAGTGGATTCACCCATGTGGAAAGCAACAGTGTGAGCATTGTAGGTGTAGAAGCCAGAAGCATTGGGACGAGTATTCTGAGGTCATATTGCTTCAACGTGCAGCATGGTTCAGATGATTGCGTCAATTGAAGATAATCTCACTTTGGCGAAGAGCTTGTCTACATACAAACTAAATTATTTTATCAACATTGGGAAAGGAGCAAGCAATTCTCAAATGCCTCTTATGAGACAGGCACAGTGCTATGTGACTTTTTGATTTTCACAACAAGCCAATGAAGGACATATAGTGTTTCTGTTTGTTGGACAAGGAGCATGACCAGTAACAGTTACCCATTATTGACCTGTTGTTCAGCTGCCATGCCACCTGCCCACGCTTACTCAGTAAAGTGGGAGAAGAGTGGATTCAAGAAGGCCCATGTTCAAGGGTGCTGGGTTTGTACCTTGATTGTTTTTTTGTTCAGATATGTAATGAAGTAAGGAACTGTGTTTGTTTTCCTTTTCTGTTACGTGCATCAGACATTAATAAATGGTTGTATAACCATTGCATGACTGTAGGGGTACCATTCTGCATTTTGTGCAAGTGGCGTCCCTGGAGTTGGTCCACAGGGAAGCCCTGGCTGCTTTGGTAGGCATATCATTAGAGTTCTCAACTGCAAGCAACAGGAACAGAAAGCTAGCTAGGAATTTTCTGGAAGGAAATATAGCATTGCACTGGGTCAATAGGAAGGCTGGAGAAGCAGACACGGGACCACAGAAAGTGGGGCAGCAGGCAGCAACCAGGGCCTGTTCCAGCAAGATCGTGTCTGCTGTCATGTTCCCCTAGCACTCCCGTATGGCCGCCACTGCACACATGGCACTGACGCTGTCTGAAAACATGCCAGCTGCCCGGGAAAGTGGGACTTCAAGGCTCAGAACACCAGCATGTGTCTGATTTTCCAACTCGCCACAGGCGCACACCACCTGGGCCAGGATGAGAGAATCTCAGCCCTTTAGCTTCAATTGAGCATCTCCCAGTCAAGACTCACAGTGAAAAATTCTTTAAAAATAGGAAAAAATTGGGCAGCCCGGGTGGCTCAGCAGTTTAGTGCCTGCCTTCCGCAGAGGGTGTGATCCTGGAGACCTGGGATCGAGTCCCATGTCGGGCTCCCTGCATGGAGCCTGCTTCTCCCTCTGCCTGTGTCTCCTGTGAATAAATAAATAAAATCTTTAAGAAAAAAAAATAGGAAAAAATTATCGAGAAACAATGAAGATGAAAAGCTCTTTACTACAGTCTGTCCCTTTGTCCAGTACCAATACCTCCTTTTCCTGATATATATACTTCATACCCAACAGAGCACCTGTGCCCCATTTAGAAAAGCCCAGATGCAGTCATTTCCTCAAAAGGAGAAAATCTATATCCAACCCCCTTTTAAATCTAAGATAAGGGTTATTTGGGAATAACTTTAAGTTTACAGAAAAGTTGCAAACACTGCAGCAGATTCCACATACCTTTTGCCCAGCCTCCCCTGGTGTGAATATCTTACATAACGTAAGATATGTGGAAACCCAAGGTCTTTGTCATCTTGAAGTCAGAACTCTCTGCTAGTCCTATTACTGTTCTCTCTGGTACTCAGCAGTCCTGGTGCATCCTGCATATACAGCCTTGGGGGAAATGGAGAGGAGACGAGAAGTTAGCTGAAATAAACACATGTGACACAGCAAAAAGGAAATAGCTGTTTCGTTCAGAAGATGAAGGGAAAGTTCAGGTAAGTTGAGATACAGGCGCTTTTACTGAAGACACATGGAAAGAGGTTGGAGTGTTGGCAAAAGAGGCGAGGTCAGATAAGAGAATGGTGAGTGTATGGCCACCTGAGCGGTGTGGACGTGGGGAAGCAGTGCAGTCAGTGCGAAGGGAAAGCAGCAGCCAGGGCCTGGCGTGTGCTGGCTCTGGTTGCCCTGCCTGCGGACAGCTCCTTGGACCCCTGCTTTGGGTGTGGTGTGGGAGGCCTGGAGAGGGAGTCCTAACGGGAGCACAGGAAGCTCTTGCGGAAGGTGTGTGCTGAGTCTACAGACGGGCTCCTCACAGGAAAGCGAGGTCTGTGAGATGTGATGCCACTGCCTGGGGGAAACAGTGTGTGTCATGCTCTCTGGTCCTCTGAATCCAAGTTCTGAGGCTTTCCTCTCATGTGAGGACTGCTGCTGCTGGGGGAGCATGGGGGCCTTAACGGCACCTCTCATTCCTGCCAGCAGGCAGATTTGAGCCTTCCTCAGAGCCTCTATTACCCCACATGCAGCCCAAGATACTCTATTAAGTAGAGAAGTAGATAGAAAATATTGAAGAATTCCTAGTACTTGACCACAAGTGAAGTCTTAACAAATTCCAAAATATTAATTGCTAACTATAATAATTTTTTCAAAAGACAGTCACACCAAACATGCACACACCTCATTAAAATTCACTTTTAAATAACTAATAAGAGAAAATCTCAGCAGAAATTACTAAATTTTAAAATAAGAATAGAAGATATTTTCTTAACTGGATAAAGGGAATACAAAAGACTGCAAATGTGCTTAGTGACAGGTAATCAGAAACATTTCTGACATGAGAAGGTAAACTTGATATGGATCACCACCATAATTAATACTTTTGAAATTAAATTAAAAAAATAAAAATGAGTATGTGTGCTATAATTTCTAAACAGTACTATCTCCTTTAAAACCCTAAGAAAATCATTAGAAGTAGCAAATCATGATTGGTGAATAGGTTATCTACACACTGAAATCAGTGTAACAATTAGAAAATGTGATAGAAAAATTATCCCATTCATAATAACACCAGAAACTATAATATCTTGGAATCCAAAAAAAAAAAAAAACAAAATTTATGAAGAAAAAACACAACTTTTCTAAAGGAATAAAGAATAGAGATGGCCCATGTTCATAGAAGAATTGCTACTTTAAAGAGGCCATATATTGAAAATGGCTACCATTTTAAAAAGAGAATGTAGAAAGATGGTTATTGGTTGTATATGGAGCTATAAGAATACAAGAGTAGCCTTTTTCTGTTTTGTTTTTTTTTTTTTTTTTTTTTTTTTTTGCAGAAACAAAAGGGCAAAAGAAAGGATAGACTTGCCCTGTGAATTATAAAAACAAAATTAAACTTTATCATTGAGACAAGTAGCATCAGTGCGTGAATAGACAATAGATGAAACAGACCCATGTGTATTTGGAAATTTGGTTTATAAGTGACATTTGAAGTCAGAATGGAGAAATGATGCTTCAGGAAGTGATCTTGGAAGGACTGGCTGTAAAATCAGATTCCTTCCTCATACTGTGCACAAAAATAAGTTTTTTATGTATGAAGGATCTAAATAACTTTTTTTTTAATTGTGGAAAATTAGAAAAGGGGAGGCTTCTAAAGCATGATTAAATAATACAAAACTAAAGCCCATAGCAAAATACTCCCTATAAAAATTTAAATCTTTTGTACAAGTGACACCATAACCAAAATTAAGACATGCTGTTGACAGCAACCCCCAAATCGAACTAAAGGGAAAGAAACATGATTTACAGAAGAAACCAAACACTGAAGTACAGGATAAAATGCTCACAATCAGTAGTAACCACAGCAGAGTAGAACAATAATGACCTATCACTTTGCACTATTAGGCTGGCATAAAATAAGGGGGCGGGGGTAGAAAGCTGGATGATGCTCTTTACAGACACATGGACACAGGACCCAGTGATGGAAGCTGCCTCAATCTTGGTCACATCTGGACGTCTTTGGTCAATCCAAGGTATGTATTCCAGTCCTGTAGTTCAGGGTAACAGTGTCTCAGCTCCCTAGCACCCCCCAACATCCCCTATTCTGTTCAGCAGAAGGCTGCCTTCTCTTATTCCCAGCAATTTTCAGGATGGGGCAGGTTTAGATGCTCATCTCCTTTGCTCTGAGGGTGTAGCTTTTTGTGGTCCTAGCTCAGTGTGGGGCTCACTTCTGTGCACCTCTAGTATACACCATCCAGCTCCTAGGTGGCTGACAGCCAGCTCCAATGCCCTGAAGGAGAGGGGGATCTGGTTGAGGGAATTGGAGGTGTATAAGTTTTGCGTCCCAGCTCAGTCCACCCTTTGCACCACTCCCTCCCACTGAGGACAGCCCTTGGATGTCATTGTGGGGCCTGCCATCCCTGAGCCTCCGTCTGCCAAGAACAAAGGTGTCCATAGTCTTTGCAAGTGTGACTGTGTCCCAAAGTTGAAGAAGACCTGGACACCTGTGACAAGAGCACTAGTGAAACGAGCAAGAGTCCCTCTGCAGGATTCCCTTTAAGCAGCACTTTGGCCTGAGTTGTTTGGTGGAGTGACTCAGATATTCATCCCCAAGGTAATGGTTGCTCATTGAAAGTCATTGCTGGGTTTAACAGTTAAGAGATACCCAGTTACTTACCTGCGATGCAGACACTCCACTCTACCTAATTCTCTACTAGCCACTTTCATCCCTGATGTTCGTCAGTTACGATCCCAATCATCAGAGCCAGTCCTTTCTTTGCCTGTTGGGCCACTGGCCAAGAACAAGATAAAACTCAGGTGGTAGTTAGAGTTTCCCCGTAAGAGGGATGCTTGCTGTGACCCTAAATTGCCTCCACTCCTATCTCCAGGAGCTAGGACCTATCTGTAATCCCCAAGAGCTCAAATAACAAAATATGCAGGATTGGTGGCTATCATTATAGGTGGGGCCACTCTTCTACCTGTTGGTTCTCAGACTCATGTATTCTAGCAGTAGTAGCACCGTCATTGGTCATTGGTTCAGAATGTATGCCCCATCCTGGATTGGAAGATGGTCTCCAGGCCTCACTAAGTGTTGATCCCTGGCCAGCACCATAGTGGAACTGTCAGTGGGCCATGTCCCCATCACAACAGGCCAGTTAATCTTGGATGATGGGTATGGGACAAGACCGGTGTGTTCTATCGTCAAGAGCTCATGGTCACATCTCCTTTGGTATAAAATGAGTCCTTTGTTCTGAGGCAGTACTGTGGGATACTGTGGCAGTACTGTGGGATATCACAGGTAAGGCATTCTGTAAGTCTTTGGGTTCTTCCCTGGCAGAACCATGGCCAGGAGTCAGGAGGACAGAGTACTGGCCCATGATTAATGGTGCCAAGTTGATAGCATCAATCTGTTGTCCACTGGACAATCCTTCAGCTATGGTGGCAACTGTGAGTCTTGATATGGGAAATCCTTGCCATCGAGCCTGTGCTTAGCCCTTATCCCTGATGCTGTCCATGGACTTTGCACAAGGACTGGATTGGTGAGAAGAGTGCCTGGCAGCCAGAGGATGGTCATCCTGTGACCTATGTTACTGCAAGCCTTCCCTGCACTACATGGTCTCTGCCAAAAGTCTATGTATGTCTCTACCTCCAGGCATTTTCGTATGAATGAATGAGCCACTCTCAGCTTGGTTTATTTGAAGGACTTCCTTTCACAGTGTCTTTCAAAGATATCCCAAGTGGTGCTATAATGGGGCAGCAGCGTGATAGGAGGCCATTTCAGCCAACAGCCATATGACAAGCCAGCCT